ATAATACTTTTTCTAATTTCAGGTGTCACACCCTAGGAAAAACCCCTGCCCATTAGACATATTGCAGAATTCCAGCACAGACCAGCGAGACTGAGGACGTGGCCTGAAGAGAAGGAGAAAGATAAAATTAATTAAGGAGATTTTCCCTAAACTGGAGGAAATGAGACTCAAGTGAGATATTCTAAGGTTACCTTACGAGACTGTTTCAAAGAGTAATCAGAATAATGCTTCCAGTGTTTATAGTGTTCAGGACAAGAAGTAACACCTTCGGGTTGCAAAGCTCAACGTGACTAATTGCCTAAGGATTGGGAGGGCTGTGACTCACTGAAATACATTGTTCTGGGCTATTAARAAAGGCTCTGAAAATAAAAGTCTGAAAAACAGCTTTTAGTAAAAGTGGTAGTGGACCAGATGAGTGAACTGCATAACCTATCGAGATCCTTTCTGAATCTATTTTTTTTAAGCACTAGGACTAGAGATAGGGAAATCTTAAGTAACAAGAAGAAAATGTGCAGATTTATAGAAATAATAACAATCAATCATCAGGAATTTGATGTGTCAGTTTCTTTATTTCAGTAGATATTAAAACTTTTTTATTTTAAATGTGTTTAACCCATAATGCATCTTCCACCAAAAGGAGTCTCTATTGGTGGAGAGAGCTAGAATCCTCTTGAAAGAATAGTGAGATTTGAACCTTAGCCAGAGATAAGAATCTGTCTAATTGTCAGATTGTGAGTAAATGCAGAGGCAGTAGCCAAAATGTTTTTTTAAAAATATGATTATCTAAAGTTAGTTTGCTAAAGCTAATTATATTTTAAATATTTGTCAAGCTACATGGGCCTTTCTAGATCTTAAAAAAGTGCATACTTAAGGCACTGGGGGGTGTTGGATGCTTTAGAAGATGATGTAATTCATTTCCTCACCAAAAGAATTCTTATGAGTGGCGATTTTTAGACAAATTTTAGCTCTTAGCTCTAAATTTTATTCCAATCAACAATGAATTATTCTTACAGTCTCTTTTCAAATATATAATCATGGCATTCATCACAGCACAAAGAGCTTGAATATTTCATAGATTATACCTACAATTTGTGGTGAAGTAAATGCAATATTAAGATGTGTTGCATTTCTGTCTATACGGTGGCAGTTTAAACAGTACATGCTTTGAGAGAGAAACAGTGTTTCTTTACAGAATGTAAAATAAAATGGAACAAGATCTGAAAATGTCCTGAAGTGGCTTTATAAAGCAATTTTTATATTAAAAAAAAAAAAGGAAATAAATTAACCTCCAAAGCTATATCAGCTAAAAAAGTCTCATAAGTACCAATGTTTTCCCTGGAAAAATTAGTCTTATAAAATTCTGCTGTCCTGCATGTTTAGCACTGTAATTATTTTAAATTGAGCTTGAAGAGAAAAAAAAGGGCATTTAGATTCCTTAAAGGGGGAATGCCTGCAGAGAAAGGAAACTGAATTACCTGAGAATTACTGGAATTCTTGAAGATATTTTAGCCATAGTGATTCTATTCCCTTACTTACATTCTTTACTGGTATGAAACTGTACTACCTGTACTACCTATATTAGTGAGGGACCTGAACAATCAGGACATCCTTTATCCTTTTTTTTTGGTGAAGGTATAAGTAAACRGGTAATATATAATTGAACGTATAATAAATTTAGGGTAAATGAGGCATGGATGTGCCCCCAGGGTGGATCTAGATGCTGATGATGGGCCTAATGTGGATAAGCATCTGAACAAATTAACTGCAATGTAAAAAGCTTCTTAACACATAAAATTTTTTCATGCTTCTGATTAAGTGTAGTTTCCACAAATGAAAAATATTTCCTTTAAGTTCTTTGGCATGAAGACTGTAGAAAAGGAAGTCAGCACTTGAAAACAACAGCAGAATAAGTATAAGTAAGTTTATTCCATTTTCTGGAATATTGCTATAGGCCGGTCTACATCACATGAATTTTGGGCAAGCAGCCATCTGCTGCAGTAATAGTGAGGTATTGGATTAGATTGCACATTCCTGATTTGCTCCATTATTTTAATGGGTTTAATCTATTTGGAATGTTACTCAGTCGGAAGAATGTAACAAATGTAATGTGTCCTGAAGCCTGGCAGTCTCCCGAAGCAATGACCACTCTGAGTGTGGGTTCTGCCTTATTCTAATGGCATCGAGATATCATTTTGACAGCCTTCAAAAATGCCTGAAGGGATAATCCAGAACTGGGAGAATCTGCTGATGCTCAGTTTATATTGTTATGAAAGGACAGAATAAGGCAGGAGATTTCCAGAGATGTAGTTTAATTTGATCTTGATTAGACAAAGGGTTTGAATTATCAGACCCAGTGCCAAAAAATCACTTCATATAACTCGTTGATATGAAAACACATCTGTACCTTCACAGAACAATTTATACTGAGAGTTATCCCTACTGAATAGCCCTCTGAATTTGGACATGCTATCTTGTGTTTTCATCATTCCATCTCTGTCCACCAAAGGTAAAGTCTGATTGGCATCTTCACCATTRTGATTTTTTCCCTCATTGTTTACCCCAAATCTTTATGTTTATCCTGAATCTATCTTTATGTTCTCATATCCAGTGCATTGTTGGAAAAAAATCTACAATCTAATTTTCAGTGATTTTTCAAAGGGTTTCATTATTTTTCACTGTGTTTCTCTCTGATCTTGCTACTTTTCTCATAAACCATCTTAATGACAACACAATCTGCCTGATYTCTTCTCTAGTGCTTGCACAAACCCTTAAGCTCAATTCAGGCTAAAAAAATGTAGATTAGTCATTATTTTCACTATTCAGACTGCCTGAATTGAAATTAGATTAATAGTCTAAGTATCAGAACAACACATCAAAACAAGAAAACACCTGTTTGCTATGTGAGCTCAGGCTGCTTTAGCCCTTGGATAGTTGGCAGAAGTTCCCCAGTTAGTTATGAGCTCCCAGTTAAAACACTGGGATCTATGCTTGTCAGGGCATAGATAGCATCAAAACATGTTATAAACTCTGGCTATAATGTTCTCCTTTTYACTTCTTTGTGTTTTATCAGCCCTTTCTGAAGAGAAATTGAAATCTGACATGAGAGATTTTTCACTGGAAAGAGATGTAGCGACATCCTTTCATCCTTTTATATAGCCTGAGTTAGGTGAACTATTTCAAGTGCATAGTGACAAACCAAAAAAAAAAAAAAAAAAAAAAAAAAAAAAAAAAAAAAAAAAAAAAAAAAAAAAAAAAAAAAAAAAAAAAAAGCATTATCAAGATTTTCTAGGTTTTTCTCTCACAAATTGTTCTGGTTACATATGAAAATATATCACAGTAAATTTAAACTATTTGCTTTCAGAAAAGGAGTAATACAAATTGAATTTTTATGAAACCTCCTTTTGTATAGTTAATTTCTGAATTAATTAATTAAAGAACCTTGCTGCATTTATTAGATTCACATTATGGGTAGGTTCACCAAGTATCACTGAAACTGGTGGAACCTCAGGGAATTAAGTGGTAATGAGTAAGATTTTTCTTCAGCATTTATTCAGAAGTAGTGTTCCCTTTTCCATATCTGGYGATCCTGATATGGCCAAAAACAACTCAAAAACTTAAATATAAGGATAGAGATTTGGAAAGGGGCATTTAAGATATTATGGTGGTACTGACTCAGCTCCTGCAGCAGGGTTATGAAGATACAATGATTAATATATCAACCTTTAATCCCAAAACAGCAGCCAGCTGCTATCCATCCTAGGTATTTGAGCTGTAGAAAACTCCCACCAGGAATTCTGAACATCTGGATGGCTAATGATGTTCATTACTAATCACTGTTGATACAATGGAGAAATTCCAGAGGACTAGAAAAAACTACTACTATGTCAATACTTCAGATTATTAAATTAGATCATTAGGATATTTCTAAGTCAGAAGGAAAATAATGAAGAAGTTGATAGAGAATGAAACATGTAAATATGACCAATACTGATACAGATTTATGGAAAAGACAGTTTGTCAAACGTATTTGATTGCTTAAACGAGACCATAAGTTGGCAGATAATGGTAAAAGTTTGGATTGATATTCTGAGGCTTTTACAAGGCATTTTGATTTAGAAACCAGAACGACATATAATCAATATGGCTCTCATTAAATGGATTAGAGACTAGCCAGGAGTTAGCTCTCAAAATACCTCAGCTAAAGGGAACAATGACTGGCCAGCTGCATTCTGAGTGTAGACCCCAGCAAGAACTGGGTCTTGATGTTTTTTAATCCTCCCCCCACTTCAGTTAGCATTATTTGAACCATATTTTCACCAAAGGATGGCCTAGAGCTCTCACCCAGAAGGCCAGACTAGGTACTAACCAAGCTCTGGCTGTCTGATATGAGAGCACAGGATTGGGAACAGCRTTAGGGTTAGGAGCTACAAAACCGTAGCTCTGAACTCTTCAGGGCTGCTTCATACTGAAGGTACCTAAGTTCAGGAGATTTCACAATTTTTCCGCATGCATTTCACATGCACAAAACATCTGCTTTTTATTCAGGAAAACTATGATCATGACTSCCAACCCCACTGTTTGCCAAAGGCTTAGGAGTGGTTTATTCATGGTTTTCATGGTGTGCCCAATGCACAGCAGTCAGGTTTGCCTCCCTCCTCTCTTTTTGGACTCTTAAATCTCTTCAAAAGGCAGGCAGTTATTCAGGAAGTGCAGTGGCCTGCCCAGCCACTTCAGAGCAGCAGGGACACATGTTAGAGATGCTCTCTGTGAGACATGTGGGTAATTTAATCTGGACCTGCTGCATCTTAAGCCAACAGGCTGTTATGTAAATGGGCTGGAATTAGCTCTCTTTGATTTTTATCTTTTGCTGTTTCAAAAGAAAGGAAGTATTTTTCCTCAGTAGAAGCTGAAAACATCAGGTCAGCAGAAAACTGCCAATTCCTGACTTTCAATCTTCTTGCAGCTCCAGAATGAAGCATTATCTGTTTAAAAAGTGAGGTCAAATGCTCAGCCCTGTCCTTAAATAGCTGCTTGCTCAGCATGTGTTTAGTTCTGAACCTAAAATTTGTGCTTGAAATTAATTTAGAATCTGKTTTTCCCCATCCTGTTCGACTTGCCCTCTCCAAAAAGTCTCTCCTCTGGTCAGAAGGGTGAGCAGCTTATTTTCTTTACTTGTAGTACAGGTATGAATTACACACCAGTGCATGTGATTCTGGTAACAGAAACACTGTTTTTTTCAGATTATTTAAGCAGAGATTAATCATTACATAGTACTTTGTATTGGGAGGCAATGGAGGACAGGTGCCTGGAAATGCAATGTACTGGGGAAAAAAGAGTCCTGCAATAGTCAGGAGTACAGCAATAACTGAACACTTTGTGTATGATGCTAAGTGACAAGCAAGCCATAAAAGATCTTAAAAGTGAATTCACAGTTAATCTGATTCATCAGAAAATGATGATCAACTGGGAAGAAAGGGCAAGGAGAAAGAAGGATTAAAACGCTTTAATAGAMAATCTGTTTTTTAAGGCTGGAAAATATAGTTTATTCTTGGTTACAGATATTTAAATAGATACCTTTTAAACCCCTGTTAGTTATGAAAATTTAATGGAGAATTATAAAGAATGGTGTAGGTGGAATAATGTGAAGGATTTTTCCATGGATGAACTSAAGGATAAACATTTTGAACCATATTCTCCATGTTGTGAAAATATCCTCTCAAAGGAAAATGGCTCTTGGTAATTAAATATTTAAAGACTGTATCAGAACTTAGATTTAAAATAGTCTTCTGGAGTGAAAACATCATTTTTACAAAGGATGTGTTTCACACTTTTGGTTCAGGTTTGTTTTTCTTTTCTGTGAAAACCAAGTAAAAAGAAACTATTTACCTGCRCAAGTAGCCAGACTTTATCTGGCAGTCCTTTACATTTTTGTTATTCTGACTTGCACACTTTTAGGGATAGAAGACAAAGCGGATCCTGAGCTGTAGCTTGGAGCACTGTGCTCCACCTGCCCATCCCAACCCTCTCTTCACCGCCTTTCAGCACAGATGAGGTACGGCTGTGGTTGTAGGGTCATCCCTAATCTTGGCTTGAGCTCTGGGATCACTCCGTGAGGAAAATGCAGGTGAAATCGTTGTAGCAGCGAAGTGAAAAACAAAAACATTTCCATTCGAGCCAGTTGTTCTCCAAGGCAATGCCTCCTTCCTGGATTGAAGCAGAGGTTTTAAAAAGATTTAAGGTATTTTCAATTGCATTTTCACTTTTATTATGAATAGGAAAGGTCATTTCTATATTCTAAGAGTGCTGTGTGAAGCTGGTGTCTTGTAAGAAGGGTAGGTCATAACCTACACCAAGAAACTAATTTTAGGGAATTTGTTGCTCTCACCTCACAAATACCATTGAAACTAATTCTGTCAATTTAGATACTCTTGTTAGCTGTTGTATCTTGTCTTGAAGTGCCATTCTAGACAGAAGATGCTTTAAAAAACAGTACTGTGAATTTCAGCCTTTTTCCTCTACTATTTTCTTAATTACATCTACTGCCAGCCATTATTAACATGCAATTATTATAACTTTGCAAGATGGAATTTTATGAGCTTATATATAACACTGAGCTCATCTATATAAAAGATATTATGCTAAAATTTGTTATCTYCAAAGCACATTATATTGAATATCTTGAAAACAGCTGCTTCATCAGAACTGAGGATACAATTGTGCCCATTTATCGCCATCACTTACATGTTACACATCTCTGGATTTATGAAAGAGCAACAGTGGAAGGAATTGCTCTTACCCAGTGAAAAAGGAATAAACGCATCTTTCTTGACAAACTGCCCATTACTGTCCAAAAATCTCTCAGGAAAAAACACTTCAGGATTGCTCCAGTATTTTTCATCAAAGTGAACGGAGTAGAGGTTTGTGATGACTGTGGTGCCTTCAGGAATTGTGTAACCACGCACAACAGTGTCTTTGGAAGTTGCATGGAAAATCCCCAGTGGGACTATGTTGCAGAACCTCAGAACTTCGTGCAGAACAGCCTCAGTGTAGGGCATCTTGCATTTCTCTTCCAAGGTGGGCATTTTGTTTGGGCCAATGACAAGATCGATTTCTTTTTGAACTTGCCCTGTTAGGAATAAAAGCTGATTTTTATTTTGTAATAGTAATAGTAATTTTGTAATAGTAATAATTAAACTCTAAAGTTTAATTTAAGCTAAAGTATATGTATGTGTGTATATATATATTGACACACTTTTAAAAGAAACATGAAACACCTTACATAAAATATAGTRGCTTACAAGCTTTTAAATTTACTCTATACTCCTAACCATGGGTAACGTTATTATCCCCATTCTGAAACAACAGTGAAATTAATATTAGAGTGATTTTTTTTTGGTCAAAGTACCAGCAGTATCTTTCCAAGCTATTTAGGCTGTTCTTCCTCCAAATCCTGAAAGTCCCAATTGAGCCAAGCACTGCTAAGGTTTTACCAGAAAAAGTGGAGGCAGTGAAACCAGAAACATGACTGTTCACTTTTAAATTCCAAACTTCTACTCCAAACACCCGGCCTGACATTGACACCTGTTGCTGTCTTGCTTCAGAATGACTGTAAAGCATCACTGTATTTTTAAATGCCATTTCTGCTCTTCCAAAATGTAAGTATTACTGTCCGTAATATGTAAATCTCTTGTGAACTGGAGCACTCAAGATAAAAAGAAATTGTACCTAAATTGTTAACCCAAACTTGATTTACATTTTTGCTGACACTTGGACATTTTTAATTTAGTTTATTACTTTAATATTTAATTGCATTTTCTTATTATTTATTAACTACATATATTAGTACACCTGCCAACAACAGATCATGCATCACAATGTTAAAATTAAATATATTAGAAATACTTAAAAATATTAAAGCTTCATAAAAAGGTATTCACAAAATAATACGACTCTTGACTTTTGATATCCTCTTTGCCTGCATTTAAGATAAGCTTTCCACCTCTGCCCATAGTATATTTGGTAAATGATACACTAGAATAATATATATAAATCTTCCTTTTGGTGATGACAAATGAAAAAGCTTCTTAAATTTGTAATAGGAAAGTGTAGCAGTTCCTCAGAATGTCAAATTTCTTACCTTGGATGTTTGGATAAAGAGCCATGAACAAGACTGCCCATCTTAAAACATTTGTTGTGGTTTCTGTCCCAGCTATGATGAGTTCTCCGACAGAGAAAATTAAATTTTCTCTTGAATATGTAGATTCTGGGTCATTCCCATTGCAATCCATCTCATCCAAATATGCATCTACAAAATGTCGAGGTGACTGAGGCTTCCTATTTTCAGAGACACGTTCAATAAGCTCAAGAAGAAACTCATAGACTTCAGCTGCATTTTTAAACAGCTGCTGGTGTTTCCCAAATGGCAAGATACCAATCCAAGGAAAAGCATTATACAAAAATACAGAAGCGCTAGCAGCTAATTCAATGTTCTCACTAAAAATCTCAATCATGTGCTGAAATTCAGTATCTTCGTATGTGAAACGTTCTCCAAAAATAATCAAATTAGTAATGTTTGAAACAGCATTTGTTATCAAGTGCTTAAGATCAAACGGTTTGCCCTTGTATGTGTCAATGGCATCAAGAAAAAACAGAGATTCTTCTGAAATTTTGTGTTCAAAGGACCTTTGGCCATATCCAAAAATTCGAAAGGTATTTACAGCTAATTTGCGGTGTTCTGTCCATCCTCTGCCATATTTACTGTTCAGTAAGCCTGAAAAAATATTTTGACATGGTATTTTATGCAATGCTTTAGTTTTTTTATCCCCCCTAAGATAATAAAATTCCTTAACAAGACAAAAATTATATTAAATATTTCAGACATCTTGCTATGGAACAGAGTCCACGAATGACAATCTTTCCCAAATAATATCTTTAAAGAAAYATCAAGTATTTTATGAAAGGACATCAAGTAAGAGAAAATGGCTAAAGTAAAAGTTTCATGTGATTTGTTCATCTATAGGACAAAACTTACATTTTTATATGAAACACATTAGCACTCACCTCCCATGTTTGTCAGCTTTTTAAACAAGGGAAGAGATGGCCTGTCTGCAAAAATTTCACTTTGGTGGACAAGGCATTCCTTCACTGCATCATAGCCATTCAGGACTACAGCAGAAATACCACCGAGATCTAGGCTGAAGATCTTTGGGGTGGGAAAAAAAATGAATAAAAAAWTGTGAAATGCTATTACAAGCAAACCTTGAGAACGAGGAATGAAAAAGTGAAACAACACTGAACGTCAGTTCAAAATGAGGACGTGAATAACCTTCAGCAGGGCACACAGGTGACCAGAGGTGGCACAGCTGTGGCATGGCACAACAGASTCTGCGGGGAGCTAATCTCATCTGTCAAAAGGTAAAGTGAATCAGCCCACACTACACTCTGTGTTTGCAGTGCACCTAAAGCAATCAGCTCTCCAAATGAAGGACTGGGGACACATTCATGTAGTCCTTGGAGAGGAGTGAGAGCAATGGTGACAGCCAACAACTGAGAGCAGAGCTCAGCGGGGCCCAGCTCCCGACTCCACACGAGGTTAGCACCAGGTGCTCTGGAGAAAGGTGCAACAGCCTGCAGAGAGCACATACAGGACAAAAAAAAAATAAAATTAAAGTCTTAACCTATCTTTTAAAAATTAAAACTGAGGTTCGASATTGAAATCTTATATCCCTTCCCATACATTCCCTCAGCATTATAAATCTGTATTTTTACCTATACAAATCTCTAGATATCTCTTCATGTCAAAGCTGTTGACCTCCACAATATGAAATTATGTCAGCCTAACTATACATTCTGTGACAACTGGGTTRTTACCCAAAGAATTGTCAGGCATTGGAATATGCTGCCCATGGAAGTGGTGGAGTTGCCATCCTAGAGGTATTTCAAAGCTGTGTAGATGTGGCACTTGGRGACATGGTTTAATGCTGGGTTAACAGTTGGACTCGATGATCCTAAGGGTCTTTTCCAACCTAAGTGACTCTGTGAGTCTTTGACTATTTTGTTTTAGCAAACTTTGTATTTTCACAGTTACAATGGCTCTTCTTTATGTTATAAGGTGCTCCCACTATATTTCTGCAAACCATTTGTGAGTTTTGTATACTTTGATCTAGCTTATTTATCTTTATTCCTATGTCATACATGCTCAAAAAAGAAATAAAAATCCTTTGTTTCTATTTTCCCAGAGTCCCCCAAATCCTAACATGCTGTTTCTAAGTTTCCTCAAATTCTGCGGAATCCCTTCTGAGAGCAGGTGACTCTGTGCAGCATTCCAGGCAAGTAGAAAGCTTGGTTTATTTGATGATGCCTTTTCCTTCCTATTTCCATTCTATTTGTCCCAGTATTTTGCTTGAAGAACATTTACTTTTTTCCCTCCTGTTTCCAAACTACATGCTGGCCTTTCCCTGCTAGATCTGGTCTGGAGTTAAGTTTTATGATGCTTATAAGAAGGAATTAGTTGCTTGAAACTGGCTGAGGAAAAGATACGTAAGAAAGGACAACTTAAAAAGAAGAAGGAAAAAAAATCTATTTTTACATGGTTACACTAACGGACTGTAAATATCCCAAATATGCCACTGAAGGTACGTTGAAGCAAGCTGTTTCCAGTGAAAATGTTGCATAATCTCAGTGCCTGCTCTCTGAGTGTTGTAATTTTGTTACTTTTAAGCCCACGACTTGTGGATACGGCAGAAGGGAGTTCCATTTGCGGCACGACACCAGTTTCAGCGTTGCACCAAAGAAAAAGGAACCAAGAGCGAGAGCCTCAGAGGGCGTAAGAGAGGAGGGAACCCTCGTCCCGCCGCCGGTGCCCCGGGCCGGCAGCAGCAGCGGTTCCGTGGAGCCCCCGCTCCCGATCCCGATCCTGGGATCCTGGCCGAGGCCGGACGGGTCAGGGGCCGCTCCCGACCGGCCGCTCGTCCCCGGGCAGCACCGCCCGGCCCGGCCCGGCCCTCCCCGCTCCCGCTGCCTGCGGGGCCCCGGGGGGCGGCGGTACCTGCCCGTGGATCTGGCTCTGCCGCCGCATGTAGACGTGCGGCTGCTCCGCGCCCAGCGCGGGGATGTTGCCGAGGAGCGGCAGCCCCGCGGGGCCGGGCGGGAAGCCGGGCGGTCGCCGCTGCTTCAGCAGCTGCCGCACCACCAGCGTGAGCAGCAGCGCCAGCGCCGCCGCCAGCAGCAGGAGCCAGGTGCCGCCGCCCGCTGTCGCTGTCGCCGTCGCCGCTCCCGGGCGCTCCCCCGGCCCCGCCGCCCTCATCGGGCCGAGCCGCCGCCGCGCCGCTTCCTCCCGCCGAGCCCGGCCCGCCCTCCCGCCGCCGGGGCCGCGCATTGGCCCGCCGAGGCTCCGCCCGCCGCGTCAGGAGCTTCTGCTTTCTTGCTGGTTTGTTGGCTTTTTCTTTCTTTCTTTTTTTTCTTTTTTTTTTTTCTTTTTCCTGGAATAATATCCAGAGTTGGTCCCTCGGGGTTTCTGGAGTGTTGAAACTCACTGCTCCACACGCTGGCCTTGGCAGATGAGGAACGGAAGCAGCGGTTCTTTGCTCCGTGCTAAGCCTGTGTGGAATCTCAAATCCAGTTTCGAGATGTCATTCCCAGAGACGCTTCGGGCCAATAAATCCCGCCGTGATTCCCACTGGCAGCTGTGTACCTTAGGGATATCCGACAGTAGGTGTGTGGTGCCTGTGATTCCCCGTGTGGGGACAGCCTGGCCCCGGGGCACTGACCCATCCATCACCAGGCCGGAGAGTGTCCCCGGTCCGTGCGACCGAGCCGCACGGAGATCACGTATATAACATTCAAAAATTGCTGTTGCTTAGCTCAGGAGCGAGGGCTTGAGCTGCAGAAGAGACCGAGCTCAGTCAGGCAGAGGTCACAGAGCGATGCTGCTGTGCCATGTGACATCCTTGGCACAACACTTGGTAAACAAACACACATTTGTTTCCACTCGCACTGGGTTTGCTTGTACATTACTACTGTTTTACAAGGGATTTTAAGCATAGCAGAAGCATTCCTGGCCTGTCACAACTTCTTTGCCATGTGTTTCCAACTTGAGATGTCTTTCTTGTTGAATACAGCTTCATATTTCTACACAGATATTTAAGAACATTGATAAGATCTAAACATTGATAAAATAAGAAGTGTTTGCTGATGGAGCTCCTTAATAACCTGTGTCAATGCCAATCTTACCAAGTTTGTCAGAATACAAAGAAGTGGCTTGAATGCTTGCTGGGGGGTTATTTGTTTGTTCTTCTTCCAAGTTATTTCTTCATTCTTTCTTTCAGTATGACACTGCCCAGTGTCTTAGTTATTTGGGTGATAACTGCAAAAAATGTCAGTATTTTCAATATCAGTGCCTCAAGAATTCTCAATAAGGGTAGAAGATTGAGAACCTCAGCTTGGCTCTGGCAGAAGGAGAATGAGGAGGAATTGCCAAGGAGTAAAGTAAGATGTGCACTTCCTTAAGTATCTGAGGCAACACAGGAAGAAATACTATTGCTTTGGTTTATTTTTATGTCTTATATTCAATGTTTTGTTATTCAAGAGTGTAATACCCAAAGTTATAGATGATCATGATTTCCAGTACATCTGTGTAAAGGAAAAGAAAGGAAAGGTGATTAACAGTTTTGGCAGTGAGTGTTCTAAAGGRAAAAATAGGGGGAAAATATACTAGGAAAGACCCAAAAAGAGGGGGAAGAAAAGATATGGAAGAAAAGTCCAAATAGTTGACTAAAAAGGAGGGAATAGACTTGAAGGTGGGGGGGAAGCCAACAGTGTTTGAATCGTGGAGGTGAAGGGATGGTGATGTTATCTGCTGTAACAGAGGAAGGGAATCTGAAGAGCATGATTGCAGGCAAATAAAATCCATTTTGGTCAAGCCAAATGCTAAAAGGTGGTGAATCAACCAAGATTAAAGATGTGAGAACCTCTAAAAGATGCGTGATTAAATTGAGGTAAAAAGCAGCAGCATGGACAAAGATGACTGAAATTTGTCAAAAGTAAGTGATAAATAAACCCTTGTGGACAGATAAAAAAAACTTAAGGATGCAGGTTTACGGATGCAAGACTCCAATCTCTATCCAAGGGCAGGATTTCTTGCCAGTTTCTGATTGATCTTTTTTATTTTTAATTTTTTTTTTCATTCATTCATTCCTTCAGAAGTGTGTGGGCAGCTTGTGCTGAATTGCTTATTTGGGAACGTTTTACTCATCTTAATCATGGATGATCAAATGAGCAAACTCATAAGATGAATAAAGGTTTTTTTATTTCAATTATAAAAATGATGGCTGAGTAAAGAAACCCATTAAAGCATGTATCTTTATTAAATTCTAAAACATTCTAGTCATCAAATTTTGCAGTTACTTTGCACAGGAAATTCTGTAAACAGAAGTTGTAAATCAAGTAACAGGAAATTATTGTATTCCTGTCCTCTCAAGAAAATCAGAAAGCAATTATTTGGATTTGTATTCTTTGACTACACATACTTTACATATAGCTCTGACTTTTGAAGAAATGCACTGACAGGTGTGGCTGCTCGTTTAGTAGCAATGTTAAGATCTTGATGATAACTCAATTTCACTCTAGAGAGAGAAATTAAGTTGTTTCCAAGTTCCTTTAAGTATCTCACAAACTTGTATTTAGCTACAAGTTTGAAACAGGCTTCCGTTTTGTTATTCTTCCCATTTGACATTGTTGGTGCTCKTCTGGAAAACAGGGTAAACCTTTATCAGGTTAAAGTGGTTAAATTCCATTCCTATAGTATTGTCTCTTGTCCAGTGGAATCAGGACATTGTTTATAAAATGCAGGATAACGACTTCTTTATAGACAGATTTGTAAAGATTTTTCTCTTTGATAGTGAGTCAGGGAACAGCAAGTGATGTGTGCAGATTTATGTAAGACAGGCATGCTTGTCATGAAAGAAATTAATTTCCTAAGCCTGCTGACGAGTTTAGAGTCATGTGCAGATGTTATCTGACAAAGCTCTTTTTAACCTGTGTCCTCACAGTGAGTGATCACCTTCTGTGTCACAGTTATCTCCTGGGCCAAGCCTGTAATGATGCTGGTGCTTTACAGATTACCTAAGATAGAAACCACATCTAATGTTTTCCCTTGAGAATTTCATGATTGATTGCTGAGAAAACCCCACCTTTTCCTGCAGTCACATCCTTTTCCTTCATCACAATCCTACTCTGTCTGAACGTTTCATGCCTGTCAAGCAGATTCAGAAAGCTGAGACTGGCTTAACTTCAAAAACAGTTTTGGCATGTAGTATTTTCTGGTTCTTTCGGAGTATACTTAGGTCAATTCTATGCATAAATTTAGAAATTCATCTTTTTTACTGATAGTCTCACATGACTATCTGTTCCCAGAAACTGCTCTAAGTAGACTAGCAAATATTATGTTGTGATAGTCTTTGCCTTYAAGTACTACTTACCAGTACTGAAAAGAGAGAGATCTTTTTTAGCCCCAAATTTAACTGAAGGCAGAGGTAAATCAGTGCTGTGGGATCTAAAAATGTCAGGACAACTGCATGGCKCTTGAAGGGACCGGGGGGAAATACTGAGTTACCCTGTGACTTCATCAGACCCCAGTAYTGGCAAGACAAAAAATGAAATGATGACAAGAAATCTTCCTCTTTCCTTATATCCTGTAAAGAACAAGCATGGATTAATTTGAGAATTTAAGAAACAGTTTCTCACCATATTTTTGCTGACATGCTCTGATGATATGTAAGATAGCATCACAGAACTTGTGCAAACAATGAAATCAAAGCTTTTAATGATRCTATTGCTTAACAGGAATAATTTTCAGTTCTGAGGCTGTTTATTTCAACTCTCATTTTGTCTGCAGAATGCAAAAAAAACACAAGTGGAGCTAGGTCCTGATTTTGAAATATTTTTGGAGTGAGGTTTTCCTCCACAGCTCATCCTGTAGGTGCTACCCTGGTAATACTGCAATTGACCCTGGCTCTTGTATTTGGTGACATGTGAGGAGGGGTTTTCCTTTCCMGCCTGCTGGAGGTGTAGCTTGGGACAGGACTGGAATTCTGCCAGAGGGTGGAAATGTGTTTCCAGGTGGCAGGAGAGGACTGGAGTCCCATGAACCTGCTCCAAACCTGAACTGTGAAAACGCAGGACAGAAGATGACAAAGCCGTAGCAAACTTCCTTTTTATCTGTCCCTTCTGCCTGGCCAAGCAAACCTCAGTTCAGGACAGTGTGGTCCAGTCTGCTTTAAAAGATTATTCCAGACTGGATTTTGAATATATACAGGAAATTGCCACAAAACCTATGAGCTTTTTTTTTTTTTTCTTTTCGTGCAATAAGAATGTTTCAAGGAGATTAAACCAATGCAACACTGATCTTCATCTGTTTAAAATGTCTTTCATAAATCAGTCTTGGAGCTTTTCTAAGGCATTTTTGAGRAAAATTTGCTTCCAGAGTGATTCATAGATTTTTCACTAATTAGCTCAACAGCAGTTCCACTTTCTCAAAAGTAGGCACTGAAGCAGCCTAAATCCAGATTTAACGTCCATTAAAAAGGAAATGCTTTATTGTTGGGATTTATATCTGTGTTCTGGTTCTCAGGAAAGTACTGCTTTTTTTTTTTTAAAAAAAAAATAAACTTTCCTTTTTGGGTCAAATTCAAATCAAACTACAAGATAGGTACAATATTATTTTTGTGGATGAGCTTGATGTGATTTTATGCTAAATATTTTATGCTAATTAGTGAAAAATCTATCAATCACTCTGGAAGCAAGAGTACGGCTTTTCAGAGACCATAGGAGCAGGATTAAGCAAATAATTTGACCAGTTAGGGACATAAGTTTTGCAAAACCAAATACCTGCAAAAAAGTTGGTTTCATAGTTTTAAGCCACTCTATAGCTATTGAAATTATGGTATCAGAGAAATTGGAGGTGAAAGATATGAGGAGAACAAATGTAATGGATTATGTTCCTTCCCCAGAGCATCTCACTGTATATGTCACTCCTGACAGATGTTAGAATAATGTGCCATGAGATCCTACTCTGAAAGAGGTGCCATAACTGCAATGCAACCTATTCTTGTATGTCATTAATCTTGATTTAGAAAGCCCTTCTCATGTGTGATGTCTCCTCTGTTGCCTTTCAAAACTGTATATATATAAAAAATAATACCAGGYTGCAGATTGTTATTGTATTGTGGTATTTGTACTTTTGGTATCACCTTTCTCCATAGTCCTTGCTTCTGTTAAATTTCCCTGTTTTTTGAGCTAAATAATTTTATGAAATCTCTGATAACTTACTGGCATTTTTTTCTGGACTTTCTCCAGTTTCACAGAATCACAGAATTTGCCCATGTCTTTCTGGTCTATATCTCATCAGCCGCAAGTAGGGTGTAAGGATTACCTCCCAGGCCTTAAACAGGATGCTCCTGCTAATACACAGCTTGCTTTTACAGCAGCACAGCACCATTGACTCTGGCTTAGCTTATTTCATTTTTTGAATTTCTACAAATTTCATTTGTAGAGCAAACAGCAGTGTTTGCTGGCTGTTCATGGAGATAGGATCTTGGATTAGAAACACCAGGCATCCACGAAAAWCCCCGAGGAGTAACTCCTCAGGGTCTCTTTGCAAAGAAAGAGCATCTGATTTTTACAGCTGGTTTTATCATGAGTTGTCCTGAAAAGTCTTGGTTAGGTGTTCAGAAGAACAAATTAGAGAGCGCAGAGACCTGAATCATGCCCACCTCCCTCATGGAGAACTTGCTGTGTTTGTGGATTGTGGCATCATCACTGTCTCCCCTTCCAATTCTATGGGGTTCACTGTTCTCTGATATGAACCATTCTTGGGAATGGAGGTTTTACCTGTGCGKCTCACAGTCTTGTCTTTCTTGAACAAGTTAATGATATTTTAATATTGAACAAAAATTGCAACATACTATATGAATGTGATATTTTTGTTTAACAGCATGTCAGCTGGTAGTATTGAAGAACTTCACTGCAGTGTCTGTGGCTTCTTGACATAATGGTAATTAGTAGAAAAAATGATCACACTTTTAAATATGTTGGTTAAATTATTTCAAAGAATATAATATTGTAAGAAGTTGCATCTAGTGTACAGAAAGTCACTTTAAAATAGCTCAGATTTTTCTTATTCTCTGCATATTTAAACAAATGCATTTGAAAAGGAAATTTCTTTTACTTGGAGCTGTGGGTTGCATTAGATCATCTTATTTCTTAAAATWAAAAAAAAAAAAAAAATCCAGTGATTCTGTGGCTTTTTATTTAATCTGCTTTGAACCTCTACCCAGCACTGGAAAAGGGAGAACAAATCCCTTGGAACATGTTGTTTCAGTAAATGTTTCACTTTGCAGTGCTGCAAAGTATTTCTTTCTGGTAGATTTTCCCTGAATACTTAACCTCTAGTTTTGGATTTATCAAGCAACAAAAGAACATCATCATGTGAAAACCCTGTATCTTTTTTACATCTTCAGAAGTAGACAAACTGGTCAACTGCTCTTCTTCTCCATCTTATGCACAAGAGAGAAAAGAGATTTGCAAAAAGAAAATGTATTTGGGGAGACCGGATGAGATATAGCTGCGGGGGGGGGGGGAGGTGGGGGTGGGGGATAGGACAAGCGTTCCAGCTGGGAGTCCCTCCATTAGCGCTGGCAAGGAGCAGCCAAAGTGCCTGCCAACATCCAAGTGCTACATCATCTCTACGTGCACAAAAGTGGATCTATTGGCATTCTTACCTGTTGGTTTAAATTTACACCCCTTCCTGTGAAAGCTTAAAGTAGAAATGTTGGCACCTGGAGTCCTTTAATCACCGCATCCTACAGGCTCCAGCCCGGGACCGAGTCACACTGGCAGGAGAAGGGCTTCAACTGATGGGAATCAACCATAAGGCAAAATTTAGCTTTTTCCTCCCTGAAAGAGGAAGCTGAAATACGCTGTTACAACAGAATCGCCTGGAATTTGATTGTTTTAGCTTTAAGCCGGGAAGATTCTATGTGGACAAGGAGTAAATAATTCCCCAAAGGAAATGTGAACGATTAACTGTTAGCAGGGGAAGAAAAGACTGGGAGCCCAGTCATTTAAGTTCCTACATTTTATTTCTGTTGGTGTAACTGTATACATCATATTAAAACAGCAAAAKCGAAGCCGACCCGTTCCTTTAGGTGCTGCCTAATGTTTGTAAATACAGCCTCTACCTTAAAATCAGGAGTCGTGAAAACGGAAGAGATATTAAATCAAATACTTAGACTCCTTCTCCCGCGGGATTCCCGTGATGAGCATACGTGCGAGGGAGCTGCTGTTTAAAACGAACTTTCAAATTTGGCAGAGCGGGGGAGAGCAGGAAGCCTTCCCGGGAGCATGCCCTCTGCCAACCCCTCGAGGGCTGCAGCTCGTGAAGGGCTATGAAGATGTGTTAGAAGGGGGGAGAAAATCAACCCTAAAACACCCCCAAAAAGTGTTTTGGGTTGTCACATGGAAAAAAAGCAGAATCCAGACCCCAAAAACCGAGAAGGTTTTGCAGTCGTCGTTCTGCAAAACGAGGGCGGCGAAGCGGGGCAGCGCCCGCCGGTGGCCATCCCCGCGCTGGGAAAGGAGGGGGCCGGGGGACCCCGAAAGGCGGACGGCGATGGACACAGCAATCCCTCCCCGGAGGGCAGCCAGTCGCGTGTGGTTTCTGTGTGTTCGTGGGGTTTTTTAAACTTCCCAGCTAAAATCGCATTAACAAAACATCACCCACCCCGCGACTCTCCCAAAATTTATCCACCTCCTGGTGAGCACACGGTTCCTGCCGGGAGTGACCCTGTCACTGGCGTCTGCAAACACATAGATGAGGAGCCGCCGGGATGTTCCCAGGAAAGCTCCCCACCCGTTTGAACAGCGACGGGCGCCATCCAGCCGCGCTGGTCACCTGCTCCGTGCGCGGCCGCGCAGTGTGCGCGCAGAGTGCGCGGGGCTCTGCTGGCCGCGCTGTCACCGCCGGGAGCGGCGACAGCGGCACAGGCGTCTCCCAGCGCTGCCGCCGGCGGTGCCCGCAGCCGCCGGGATCTGGGAGGCGATGCAGGAGAGCAAGGGCAGGGGCGGGAACGGGCGGAGCCGCGTCGCTCTGGGGGTCCCGGGGACCCCGCGGAACCGTGGCCCGCCGGGGCAGCTCGTGTGCCGGGGGGCTGCCGGTGCCACCGTGCTCGGCGGGCGGGCAGGAGAGGCGCTCCCGGTCTCTAGCGGGGCGGTGGAAGCGCTCTCTGCACTCAGGCGCTGCAGAGCATCTCTCCCGGGCCGCTTCTTCCCCTCTCCGCCCCGCTCCGGCGGGCAGCAGTGTCGTGTCTCGCCGCGGCCGCCCCCGGGCCCGGGCAAACATCCTGAGCGGGCAAACATCCTGAGCGGGCAGGTGCGGCCGTGACAGAGGGCCCTCGGCGGGTGATGCATGGGCGGCGGGCAGCTGCCCGGTAATCCCCGCGGGCGGGGCTCAGCTCCGGGCAGCGCGGGGGCGAGCCTCCCTTCCCAGGCGCCTCTTCCGTGCACGGAAAGACGCTGCACCTGCCCTGAAGTTGTGTGATGGAGACGGTGCGGGTGTTGATGGCTTCCTCTAGGATCGCGGAGTTTCTCCACGGTCCCGGTCCGGGCGCCCGGCAGGGAACAGCATGGGAGTAGCTCGCTGCCACCACGGGGCCGCTGGCAGGTGACACTTGTCCCTCGCCCGGAGGAGGAGCGGCGGGTGCCGCCGCCAGCGCTCCCTCCTCTGCCGGGCAGCCGAGGRGACCCTGTGAGCTCAACCTCGGGCAGCGATCAGCGCCGCCGTCCGCCGTGGCCCTGCCCTGCGCACACCCTGCCCGCGCCCGCCAGTGCGGAACCCTCAGCCGCGCACACGCGGCTGCTGTCGGGGCGCCGGGAGAGCCGCGCCGGAGGCCGGGGGGGCGGGAATTCCCGGGGAGGGAGCGGCCCCGCTCTGCAATGCGGTCCCACTGCTGCAGAGGTCGCCACGCGTGAGCGGTCCCGCGGGGGCGCGGCGGGAGCAGCCCCCCCGCCCCTCCCTGCGCAGCGCCCCGGCCGCGCCTCGCCCCGCGCCGCGTTTTTTGTGAATGGGACGCTCAAGGAGCGGGCCATGACGTCACCGCCGGGCCCCGTTGGCACCCAATGGCGGAGCGCGCCCCGTCGGGCGGCCGGCGCGGTGATTGGCTGGCGGGCGCGCGCGGGCGCCCACGCAGCCGGTGGCGGCGGCAGGTATAAAGGGGGCGGCGGGCAGTGCGTGACACCGCGGATCGGCGGCGACACCGGCACCGCGCTTGTACCTCCGCCCGCGCCGCGCTCCGCACCCCGGTAAGCGCCGCGCCGGCCGCGGCTCCCTGCGCGGGGCGGCACCGAGTCTTCCTCSGGGTCTTGGTGCCTCCATTCATTGCTCGTGTACGCCAGGCAGCGACAGCCGAGGCGGGGGAGRTAGTCCTTGCTCGGTCTGGCACTTCCTCACTCCGCCGATGCGGCGTGGCGYGTCCGGCCACGACAAAGTGCTGCGGCGAAGGTCACGGCCGGGGCACCCCTGGGAATCGTGGAGAAGGGAGATGTCCTTTGGAAGAGGGCTCGTAGTTCCCGTGAGCCCCGTCCAATGTTGGGAACTGGTAAAAGGGAGGGTGCTGTGGTGGTTATGGTGGGCTCCTTTGGAGTCCAAGGCACTGATGCTATGAGAGAGGTGTATCTCAAAGCAGTTATCTTCAATTACAGGTATTTTTACAGGTTTTGTGCTTATGACTGATTTTTAATTTATCTCTTCTCTAGTTTCAGAGTAGAAATATTTATTGAAATTAAGCTGCTTAACTCATAAAGTGTAATCTGAACTGGGGTATTAGTGTGCTGGCTGGCAAGAAGCAAGCAGCTTCAGGTAAAGTGCTAATGAGCACTTCATTCTTAAAAACGTTAAACACTAACTGTTTGTTTTTCCTTGTGACTTGTATCTGTCCATGTTGGAYATGCTGTCTGTGACATTGTGTGCAGTAGTTAGAGGAATGTGTTTTCTGCCAGTTTGAGAAAAAGTGCATAAAGTTGAATGCAAATAGCTGTACAAAACTGCAGGTCTGAAAAAGCTGCATTTTTCTGCCCTGTAATAGTGCTAAGATACAGTAAAATTGTGAGAAAACAAAAGCATAATAGCAATAATCAAAATAAACGAAAAGGTGAACGTAGAAAAAAGAAAAGCTGTTTATATTTGTGCTACTTGTGGCTAGGAAGCAATGACCTCTTTAGTRGAACTTGCAGGATTGAGAGGGTTGGAAAACAGCCATTGCTTGATGTACCTCTTTGTTGTAGAGAGGAAATCATGGTTATGCTGAAGATTTCATCTTTCCTTGCTGTTTATGCCTTGGTTGTGTGCCAGATGGACAGCTTCCAGGCAGCCCCAGTCAGGTAAGGAGCTGGTCCTTTTGCTGAGCACTCTGTCTGAATGATATGAAAATGCTTAATATTCTTTAGAGGTCTAGGAGGGAAACAGAGAACAGTGAAGGAGAAAGGTGGCTGCTTTTTGTGCTGTGGCTTTTTGATTCCGTCTGTGAAATGCTTAACACTGCGCATGAGGGGAGCGCATCGGGGTTTGCGTATTACATCCTGAAAGGCGCTGTCAATGACACACAGCCTGTCGAACCCCTCTCTGCAGCACTCCGAGGTTTATTCACCCTATTTTCCTCACCTCTGCCTAGACCTGGCTTGGAGTCCATAACGGATCGAGTGACTCTCAGTGATTATGAAGCTCGGAGGTTATTAAATGCGCTGGTGAAAGAGTTCATACAGATGACAGCAGAAGAGCTGGAGCAAGCCTCTGAGGGGAACAGGTAAGTACTGCAGTCCTGGGCAGGAGAAAAACAATGTGGGAGWGTTATGTGTTTGATATTTAGCAAAAGCTATCTGAGCAGACCCTCTGCAGGTCAAGATTTTTTTTCTTGGGGTTATGGCTAACTGGTAAAAGATGATACTGCAGCTACATCCTAGTGTTGGTGTCAAGAGAACGGCTTCMACCCAGTTAACCTGCCTCTATCTGTCTCTTACTTCTGAAAGTGGAGGGCGATTTGAGCTTGAATGAGGGGGTTGTGTTAAAATATGGCAGCAAAAGGTATGTCTTCCCAGTGGGAGTGTTAGGGGATCATTCAGTCACTCTTGGATTCTCTGTCGTGCAAGTGCATGCAGTTGTAAGGCATGGAAAGTCCCTGTCAGGAGGGATGTGTTCCTCCCGATGCACGATGATGCACGCAGCGCCACTCTCCCTTAGAGCAAAGGCATGCAGGAGCGTTTGCACCATCCTAACAGGATTTGCATTGCAATGCATGGGGGTGGATGAGACACTGAGCAGCATGCGGAATATAGGTGAGGTTCCACTTCCTGACCTCTGCCTATAGGAGCATCCAAAAGGCTAATGGACTTGCTTGTTGACAAAATTGGATTCATTAACAAATTGTGTTTTCCTTCTGACTGCTTATGTATGAACTTGCCTTGCATGGAGTGTGATGCAGARGGTTTGGATTTATTTTGAATGAGTTTTTAAGTTTCCTAGCAGTAGATCTTTATGTAGGAAAGAAATGCATGAATGTGCATGGTGGAGGTTACTCTTCCTTTGGGCATGTTTTTATTTTTTTTCCCCCTGCAGCCTGGATAGACCCATTTCCAAACGCTGTGCCAGTCTGAGTACTTGTGTGCTGGGCAAACTGTCTCAAGAATTGCACAAATTGCAAACTTACCCTCGCACTGACGTCGGGGCTGGAACTCCTGGCAAGAAACGGAATGTGCTGAGTGACCTGGAACATGAACGCTATGCAAACTATGGGGAACCCCTAGGAAACAACTAGACGTGCTTATTTCTCCCCCTCTCCCTTTTTTAACCTGATGCATGTGGATCTAACTTTGATTGCTAACTTTGCTATGTTCTTTTGATTCTGTTTCTCGACAGAGAGTGTTTGAGATGGACCTAATGTTAGGAAGACAGAGAATATAACACCCATACCAAGCTAGGGGAAAAAAGAAATAAAAATGATCAGCACTGCCTTGACATTCCAAATGATTAAAAAAAASCCCCAAAGTTCTTAATTTCTGGCTGCTAAATGTACAAGTAGATTCTTTCTTTTGTGCTTGCCCATGCACTTGTTCAATAAACCTATTTTTCTATAAGGATTAGAGCTGCTTGGTTTAACAATTTGTTTTAGAATGTGAGATTTCTAGATGAGGCTAAAAAAGGTTTACAACTTGTCTTAATGTTTAAGAGAGGCAATGCTAGTAACTTCTAGAAAAGTTGAAAGAACTTAGAAGTCAAAGTTCTACATATCCATTGATATGTACTSCTGGAATCAGGCATGCATACAATCCTGCTAGTAAGGATCCTGTGAAGCAAAGACATCAGGAAAGGCTCTCACACATTCATTCAAACAAACTAGAAATCTAATCCTGTTTAAAACTGGGTACTGAACATGTAAGGTAAGAATTTTGTGTTTTTTCTTTTCTTCTTATTTTGCAATAGGTCTTTCTACCTTTAAAACTTACATGCCTTTAAAATATTGGTGTTGATTTACAATTCACCTACATTTTGTTGCCTTGAATTAAGAGCCAGACCCAGGTATCTTACCCAGGTATCTGTTGCAGCATTGCAACTGTCTTGTAATCAGAGGTCTCCGTCAAAAAATTGGCATTGATTGTACCAATAACTCTTCATTGTTAACATTAATAAACTGCCTTGTGATGTTTAACTGAGAAAAATCCCTCCTACTGCAAGAAAAAGTCATTTCTTTAGTAGAAAATTCTTCAARCAAGGACTCTGTGAGTGCATATTCCTTGAAGTTCTCCATTTGGCACAATTGTTAGCTGTAGGCTGAGCTGTGAGCACAGAACTAATATTGTCAAAGTCTGAGCTACTTCGTGATGAAGTGCTGTAGTAGACAAAGGTCTAACTGCAGGAAAGAGAGGTTCTCCCATTCCCACGAAGTACCTGGAAGCAGTTTATGTGTGGTTCAGCCCTGAAAGCAGCTGGGCAGCTGCTGTGCAGGCACAGCCCTGTCAGAGTCACTGAGAAAACTCCTCCAGTGACCAGCCATTCTGCAATTTCTTGTGTTTTCTGGCTGTTATGGAGCACAGTAGTTGAAGTGAGAAGTGAAAAATCTGTGTTTGCTGCTGCCTTTCGGGAACAATTCAAGCAAAATGCAAATGTGAGCTTTGGTAGGAAGGGGGATAGTTGAAATGCTCCAGACCTGAGCCTCTTTAGCATGTCTCAGTGGCCGTGATGCCTGGCTGGAGGCAGGCAGTAGCTCAGGTGCTGCTGAAAAGCTGGCTTGGATTTAATCTTCAGTCCAGCTGTTTTTCTACAGTGAGCCTGACATGGAGAAAACCATGAAGAGGCAACTTTTGGCAGGTGTAAGCTGTGCACACAGAAAGTGCAAGTGCCTGCTTCACTTACACCAGCCTGCTTTTAATCCTACAGAAGTGTCTTTGCTGGTCAGAGCGCTCCTTAGTGATGTCTCACCRCATGCAGGGTTTGGACTAACTCTTCCTTTTCCTCCTGAAAAGCAGTGTCACAGCACAGAAGAGGGCCTGCAACACAGCCACCTGTGTGACCCACCGCCTGGCAGACTTCCTGAGCAGGTCAGGGGCCGTGGGCAAGAACAACTTCGTCCCAACCAACGTGGGCTCCAAGGCCTTTGGCCGGCGAAGAAGAAGCATCCAGATCTAAAAAACTGAATGCTGATGTGAACACGGTAAGTGCATTGCACCAAAAGAACCTGCAGGGCAGGTGGCATCACCAAAATGTTGGTTTGGCTGGGTGAATAACAGACCTGCAGGAGTAACCTCTGAGAAGGCAGGGCAAGTAATGGTGTAAAAAGAAAAAAGAAGTTACAAAGAGAACAAAGACATGTCTAGACTGTCGAGAAGAGCTTTTGTAGATGTTCTGCCTGAGTAACTACCTTCACTGTGCATTGACTAAACACAACAATTTGGTTGAAATTATTTGCTTGTTTTACCACTAAAATCTCATTATCAGCGTATCAGTAACTGTGGTTTTCTTTCTTACAGATTGCAATGAGAATGAAAACTCGACTTTAATTTCTAATGGAAGCAACTCTTCATAAACCAAGACCGCCAAAAAGATTAATTTTTCATCCTACTATTGAAAATGTTTTATTTAATACAAATGAAAACACTTCTGTTATGTATAGTAAAAGAGAATCTAGTTATTAAAGTTAAATTATTGTATATTCTTTTTATATGCAACTCTATTTCAAATAAAATGTGAAAGCATCTATTATTTATTTATCTTCCAGCTTATGTGATCCATGCTACTTATCCTGGCCCTACTGCCAAATCTCGGGGATTATACTAAACTGCTGCCTGGCAAGGCATATGTGTATTATATAGTGTGCTGTGCCTTGATGTAAAACACTTAACTAACCTGATTGTACAGTATGTTTAAAAAAAATCACTTCAGTATTGTATTATTTGTGAATTTACGCAAAATTAAAAAAAGTATTTTAGATATACTTGGATTGAGAAACTGATTTTTCATTTGGAGACACTTATGGAAACGTGGCACTAAGCCAACAGCATTGCAGATCAGCTAGTCCATTGATCTGCTCCAGCTTTATTAACTATAAATACTAGGATTTGAGTCAAAAGTTCAGGACAGAAAAAATAGCTGCTTTTTAGATATATTAAAAAAACCCCAAATGAACTAAAAAAGACACCACTTAGTAAGACTTCTACTAGAAAAATAAAAAGAAGCCACAGCTACATTTAGTAAAAGCATGGAGACAAATTTCATCGTGTGTGGTTTAAGACTGAATATTTTTGTGCAGGCTGTAGTTCAGATGGATTGGCCTCACATCCACTGYAGATTTTTGTGTAAGGTTAAAAAAGTGAATTAGAAAGGAAGAGAAGAAGAAGCTACGGAAATGTACATTTCTTTGAAGCAATCCTGAGACAGAGTCTATTTAGGGATCAGGGATAAATAATTAGAGTGAGTGGAGAAGAGGATAGCTGGATGCATTCCATTGATTTCTAAGTGGTGCTGCCAACTTCCTTCTCAAAGCTGCTGCTGTTTCAGTTTAGTAGCTGAGTCAGATATTTGTTTAGATTTGTTTCGTGCTTTACAGCCTGACCCTAAAATCTGTTTCATTAGTTCAGATGAATCCCAGAATGSGCAAGGCAAGAGACCACAGGGCCTCCTCTGGTCCCTCCTCCCTGCTCCGGCAGGGTCATCCCACAGCACACGGGGCAGGATTTTATCCAGAGGGTTCTGGAATGCCTCCAGCCAGGGAGACTCCACCTTGCTGTGCAGAGTAGAGATGAAGGTTCTCATGGTGTCTCTCTGTGTCTCTGCTGCAGGTGTAATGTGAAAGAGGAGTTTGGCAAGCCCAGTGTGGGCAGTGAGGCCGCCCAGGAGCGACACTTCTGGACCGTGCTCGTTCCTGGCTGTGTTTGACTCCGTGGGGAACAGCAGCCCTGGTGAGTCAATGCACAAAGCAGACCTTGAGGGGGATGACGCACCATTCTGTCTGTGTGTGAGGATCGGGTTGGGTCAGACCAAACTGCCAGATTTGGAGCCAGGAAACATCTGGTACCATGTTTCAGGATTTTTACCCATTTTTCTTTACACAGAGCAGGGGTCATACACTGGATCACCTGGCTACCTCAGCAATACCTTTCCCTGTCACTGCAGATTCTCTGGGCACAGGTGGCAGCTTGTCTCTTTTGTCCCCTAATACAGCACTCATCAGTTTAATCTTCTAGAGAAAATGCTAAGCACAATTATTGGGGTGAATAAATGTAATTTAGTGATTCATATTCAATAAGAAGCCAGGCAATGTTCATAGGCCTCTTCTGGCTTTATTTTCCCATTTACAGCCATTCTCTGCTCAGAGACACCTGAGGCTCTGTGTAATTGAATGACAGCTGTAGTGTTCCTCTAGTCTAAAAACGATTAGTCCCTCTTTAACAAAGTTATGTGTTTTTCTGTCAGGCAAAGGGATTTCCTCAGACCAGCACCGTGCAGGAGGCAAAAACCTAACATGTTAAACATTCTGTAACCTTGGTGCTGGCTTTTACATTGTCCTGGTTGTAGGAAATATGGGTGAAGCTTTTGATACATGGTTTTTTGTGTTGATTGTCGTTTTCTTTTTCCTTAGGAAGAACTACTTTCCCACTTCAAGATCTATTCCTGTTATACCTTCTGTCTCATTTCTCGTTAGAATCTCTGTCTGCTTATCAATGCAACACACTGAAAAGGATGGAGGGCTGAGCACTGTGGAAGCAAGGGGGAATACAAAAGAAATTTTCCACAATGTGAAGGGATAGAAACCCTTCACCACAAAACTGAGATGCTCAAAGTTTTACAAGAAGCAGATTGTTATTGAGACTAGAGAAAAGCAAAGTTGTAAACAGTAATATTTTTTTTCTTTAAAATTTTAAGGCAGTAAACATAGTAGAAGGAATTGCAAAGCTGCTGCTAGGTTATCAATTGCTTTGAACAAGTGGAAGAAATTACTTCCATTTTTAAAAAGTACTGTTCTAGGTAATATTACCCAAATTTGTCAGCTCTTAAATAAACCCCAGAATTATACCCCAGGAAAAAAATCTGTTTTGGAATTAGCATTTAGGAAGGAAAAGTGTGGTTTCTAATGTACTTGTCTTCCAATTACAGTGCCATTCTAAGCATTCTTAAAGCAGGTGGAAAATACAAATTGGTGTAGTGTGTGTGAGTGTCACCAAACCCAAACTGCCCAGTCAGCAAAGACACCACAGATCAGTCATGCACGAGTGATGTGTTATTTATGAGGCAGTATCACCCTGACTATAGTGTGGTTCTAATGTTTTTAGATGTTTGTCTGGGTGTGTTTTCTTTAACCACTAAGGTTTTTTTTTAATCTGAGTGCAAATGAAGTCTTGGGAAAGTACTTTGCAAGTAAAGGCAAAAGCAGAAGAAATTTCTGAGAAAGAAATTTCTGAAGATAATTTATTGTAGGCTGTCTTCATGTGACTATAAAGTTTTGGAATTTGCAGATTGTTTTCTAGTGGTTTGGTTTTTCAGTGCCAGTATGGACACATGCACCATATGGCCCCCCAAAAAGGTATGAATTTTGCCCAGTCCTCTGCTCTGAGCTGCTAGGAGGTAAAAAAGCCCCATCTTGTGGCCAGTGACTAAGCACAGTGAGAGCAGGGCATCCAGGGACCCCTCAGATGCTTTTTTGCCTTGCTGGTGGGTGCAGCTTCCAGCTGGACACGAGCAGGGGCAGCCACATGGGCTGGTGACACCAGGCAAATTCCTGCTCTTGTCACCAGCCCCCGGTGCCACCGTGCAGGGCTGTGGCACCACACAGGGTATCAGGCAGCCCTGGGCCAACTGGTGTGGTACCAGGTGATGGACAGCAGGATCTGACACCTGTTTGTGTCCCCATGGACCTTTGCAGCTGCCAAAACAGAGATGCAGGAGCTGTTCAGCTCTGTGCTTTTTCCTGAGGGCCAGGTGGTTTCCTGCTCTTACATCTGACTGTGTTTTTGGTTCAGGATTGTTTACCAGGACATGGCTGCATGCACTGATAGAGCATCATTTTGAAATAACCCAAGTGGACTTCCACTGTGGCAATTTTTTTTTCTCCTTCTGTTAGTGAAATTTAATTCATCTTCCTGAAAGCTTCCATTATCTGCAGTGTGAGAAAGGAGCAGAGCTAATGTTATTGCTTCTGACACTGAACACTGCCAAAAGCAACTTATATCAGGCAGTAGTAAATTTTGGTATTGGTTATCTAATCCAGCACTGTCATGGCTAATTAGCAGATTGAACATCTCTAAGAGGTGAAGAGTTTAAAATATGCTGGAGAGTTCTGGTCTGTGCATTTTTCCTGGGCTGAACTGTCTCAGAACAGGTGAATACTTGGCGATAAACTGGCTACTTCAAGCCTGGCTTCACCCAGGCTGAGTGCTGGCAGCTTGGTTCCAAACTGCTCACAATCACAGCTTCTGACAGTCAGCTGAAGGCTGTCCTGGCAGCTCAAAGGGCTCTGCATGGTCTTTACTATTCTAAAAGGCACCACATCCTTCCCTTGTTCTCCACTTTGGATGCTCCTTATTACTTCTAAAATCGTTCTTTTCTGCAAAAAATGTCCAAGGAGGATAGTATCTGTCTTTTTCCCCTGTCCAGAAAGGAAATAATTCCCTTTTCCAAATTACACCTAACATTGTCATACTTTCTCTATGAGCTTTCCGATCTCTRTGAGATTTCTGATTCAATGGAGTGATCAGAATCATTGCAACATTTATCTTTTCTTTCTATTCTTGGCTTTAGCACAGCTCTTATTTTCACCAATTACTCTTTTGGCTAGGGCTGAGCTGTGATCCCTGCTAAATTATTAGTGTCACCTCCRCGAAAGCAAATAATTGCCTTTGAGTCTGAATGCAGAGCTACGAGGGCTTTGAACAAGGAACAATTTGGGTGATAGCAAACTGTGGATGCAGAGGCAGTGCTGCCCTGGAGCTGCCTGCTAGACCCCACAGGGGTTTCTCTGGGAGCC